TAAGTTTATCGGAACAGTAGATGCCAGCCAGCCATTTTTTTATACCAGTATTATTTATCTGGTGAAAGAGGGTGTGATATTTCCCTCCCTGTGAACAGAAGTACTTAGACGCGCCTTCCCTTCTTCCTCTCAGATCATTCACATCTTCTTCATTTCACGACATCCCCTCCCCCTTCCTTCTATAGTCACGTCACAATATTATCTTAACTTAATTCGGTGTTTTATCAAATTTTCATAAAAGCACAAAATTTGATACAAATGTATATCAATATTTGATTATGACCACTGGATATTGAGCCATTTCAATTATAGCCCTAAAGAGTAATTAAAAGTCATTCTGATTGATCAGGTAAATGCACTTCTTTGAAATGAACAGAATTTTTGACACTTCATTGGACGTATGCGAATGACCGGGAGAAACTTTTGAGCGAATGGCATCCCATGTTGCGGACCCTTTAGTCTTCATGGAAATCACATCCGTTCCGTCAAGGAAAAAGTTTTAAAACCACTGCTCTACACTACCGATATCATTAATGGTATGAAAGCATAATCATGATAATCACGACTTGCGCCAAAGTTGCCTATGTGATGTTTGAATAAAACAATTTGGAATTGGGTATTAATTCGGTCTTTGCAGATCCAAATAACATCCCTAACAAAATTAATCATGCCACACATATCAAATATCGAATATCAAATATCAACGAACATTTGTGCGCGTGTGTGTGGGTGTGTGACTTTGCCCTTCGAAAAAAACATATGCAATGCATTTCATTTGATACATTCAATCCATTCTCTCACTCCTCTAATTAATCCCAACATAATACGTACTGTAGGCATCACTTTGGCGCAAGTCGATTTTTGGACTCTCGCAAACAATGCCACCTATTCATCTAAGCGTGAACATTTAAAACAAAAATCGAAAAGCTACACCCGGGAGATAATATTAGGATTACAGGGATACCGTTTGTAAACCAAACATCATTTTATCAGGATCATCTACCAAAATGATGCAAACATTCATTTGGCCCATGGAACTCATACTACGGTAAACATGAACAGTGTTTTTTTTTCAATCAAAATGCGCATGCTGTAAACAAAATCAATACGTTTAGGATAACATGAAATGACGTTTCAATCACATAATATAAAAACATATTTTCTGTTTCGTGGCTTGATAACATATTATCGATTATGTCTAATCGAGAAAAATTGTGTGACTATGGACGTATTTATGGTGTTTGAAAAAACCGTTGAAATATACATAGTTTTTTGTAACCTCCATATTTATAGTAAATCACACTTTTCTGTTTCATTGCCCCATATACATGTGTGTTATATCCAACCTTTCAGAGTAAGTTGGACAAGTGTATAACTTCAAACACATTAGAAAATTCATATCAACTGAAAGGTCTTTAGATATTCGGTTCTAAAAAAAAGGAAATCGTGATTTGTTACATTCTATCAAATTTGTAAGCACAAAAGTAACAATTCTAGTCAGGAAATGGGCGTGGTGCCATCTTACATAATTACGCCGTAGTATTTCCCAAGATATTCAGCATGGATGTCATGCATTAACCCCAAACTTCCATGTCAGAAAATAGTTACATTTTGGCTGCTCTACTATTTAATTATAGAAAGATGTATTTTTGACGGGTTTCTTGAGTCAGTTGTTTAAAAAAGAAATTGTATTTGTATCTTTTCTGTCTTTTCAACTTTAAAGGAGGGCAAGTGTCAGGGACATATAATATCCATGTGTAAATCAACAACAAGGTGCCCCTCCCCTCAAATACCCAAATCAAGGGTGCAGGCGTGTGTGTGTCAATGTGTATGTGAGGAATAATAATAATACATGAGATGTATAAGGCGCCAAATCAACTTGACAGTCAAATGCTCAAGGCGCAGCTTGCGCAAAAGATGCAATACATGATACATGTAAACAAAGTGCAATAGAAAAGGTACAGACATGAAAGGTAACGGTAATCAATTATAAGCTATTAAAATTAAACAGATGTTTCTTAAGATTGTTCTTTAACACTTCAGCAGAACTGCTATTCTTAATCCATTGAGGGAGAGTATTCCATATTGAAGGCCCAGCATGAGCGAAGGTTCGCTCCCCCACTTTGTTTTAACCCTAAGAGTATCAAGTAAGTCAGAGTTTTGGGAACGTAGCTGTCTTGAGGGAAAGTAATGCTTTAATAATCAAGCAGATGTTGTACTGCGGAGCAGAGCCATGTATACAGTGAAATGATAGCAAAATAATCTTGAAAACAACACGTTCTTCTACGATGTGACTATTCTTGTTGGACAGGGTCACGACACGAGCAGCAGCATTCTGTAATTGTTGTAATGTTTGCGAGAAGGTTGTGAGGCGAACTAAACAAAAGGCCATTACCACTTATCACTATTGTAAGTTCTTATTTTGCTGTAAGTTTTCCTTACTTTTGTATTATCTATTTTCATGTTTTCTATGTCTATAGGGACCCCTCTGTAAACCAGCATTGTTATGCTAACAACGCTGAGTAGGGCCATCCGTCCGTCTTTCTTTTTTATAAATGTGTCTTTATGATTGTAAATATATATATATATATGTTGATGTATTTTTAAATGACGGAAAATAAATACAATACAATACAATACAATACCAAAATCCAAGCGAGATGAAATTAAAGCATGAGTAATTTTCTCAGTGGCACTACGGTTAAGATCATACTGAGAGAGAGAGAGAGAGAGAGAGAGAGACGGAGGGAATATAGCCCGGGGTTAAAATTCAGTTTTCTTTCATGTTATTATGCCTTGTGATGATAAATCTATCTGCCATCACTATGAACATGACGGACAAAGAAAGAGGACAAATATACAGTTCCTTATTCTACCCTCAACAATTGCTGTGGTAGACAATTAAGGAACATCCCTTCACTGCTATTATGTAAAAATGTGTAGAACAGGTGAATATGCATGTGACACCTGTTCTACACATGTTTACATAATAGCAGTAAAGGATGTTCCTTTGTCTACCACAGCAATTGTTGAGGGTAGAATGAGGAACTGTATATCTTGTCCTCTTTCTTTTTCCGTCATGTTCATAGTGCATGTGGCTGCCATGTGACGGATCCTTAATATGAATAGTACCGCAATATTTGATGTCATCAAAATTTTCAAATGGCATTGTCGAGACGACGAACAAACAAAAATCAAAATAACACATCAACGTTCACTTCATTCTATCTCTGCTTAATCCTCCGAACAATGAAATCGACCAAGCGGAATCAATTGTTAAACAAATTATTATGAGTCCTACCAGTAATACTAAATTGCCACGTCATGACTGTATTAAAGGGCGCACGGTTGTTGCTTAAATTCAGCATGAAAAATAAAGCTAGATAAAACTATAATAAGCAACTGTATAAGATGAAAATATTGAGTAATGATAAATGTTTCTTTGTGTTAAAAAAGAGCTGGAAAATATCATACATTTCTTTTACAATTGTGAAATCAGTATATCAATCTGGAATGAAACGGGGATGGATAAATGAAGGTTCTCGATTACAGATAGAGTTTAATTTAGAAAATGTAATTTTTGGTTTTGAAAACAAAAGAAAGGATGCTTTAAATTGCATGGTGACTTTGATTAAGCATCAACTATTTGTTCAAAAGCTTAATAACAAACTTCCACATTTTAGTTCTTTGAAGAAAAAATTATTCACTATTATGAAGACGATAGACCCTGATAGCAGACTGACGTCTTAAAGACGTCATAAATTGGTCGTAAAGTGGTAAACACGTCGTACGTCGTATGGACGACGTAATTAAGACGTCATTAAGACGTCTTTAAAAGACTAATTGTTTGCAATATGATTTTTGTCTTATTGACGACGTCAAAACAACGTCGTAATGACGTCTTTAAAAGACTTATTTTTTCAAGATATATTTTGTCTTATCGACGACGTCATTATGACGTCTTTAAAAGACTATTTTGTTCAAGATAGTTTTTGTCGTATTAACGACGTCATTACGACGTCATTATGACGTCTTTAATAACCTGTTTTTTCCTAGATAATTTTTGTCGTATTAACGACGTCATAAAGACATCATTTTGACGTCTTTAAAAGACTTATTTTTCTAAGATAAATTTTGTCTTATCGACGACGTCACTATGACGTCTTTAAAAGACTATTTTTTTCCAAGATAATTTTTGTCGTATTAACGACATCATAAAGACGTCATTTTGACGTCTTTTTAAGACTATATTTCAAAGAAAATTTTGTGATATTGGCGACGTCATTACGACGTCATTATGACCTCTTTTGAAGACTATTTTTTCCAAGCTAGTTTTTGTCGTATTGACGACGTCATTATGACGTCTTTAAAAGACTATTTTTTCCAATGTAATGTTGTCGTATTGACGACGTGATAACGACGTCATTATGACCTCTTTAAAAGACAATTTTTTCCAAGATAATTTTTGTCGTATCGACGACGTCATAACGACATCTTTAAAAGACTAATTTGTCCAAGATAATTTTTGTCGTATCGACTACGTCATAACGACGTCTTTAAAAGACTATTTTTTCATTACGACTTCATTATGACCTCTTTTAAAGACTATTTATTCCAAGATAATTGTTGTCGTATTGACGACGTCATTACGACGTCAATACGACAGTAAAAACCAATATAAGGTAGGATCTAATATGGGCAGATGTCAAAGTAAATAGGGCAATTATCAGAATTGAAAATGGGGAACAACTCCCCCCCCCCCCCCCCCCTCAAATGTCACCACTTTACAGATTATGCACCATCTTAATATGCACCAAGGTCTGCAATATCGATCAAGACTATCTCGCTATTTCAAACGGTATGTAGTGTACGTACGTGTGTGTGTGTACTGTATACTCAATGCAAGGCGTATGATAGGCCTACATACACTGTATATACTGTGTATATGTATTTGAATTCAGAGGGAATTAATAAGCCGTTGCCTATACATTGCTGACCGAGTGCCGTATCATCCTCCTAGCTGAATACTCTCGTTTCCCCCTGCAAATATACAGTATGGGTAAGTCCTAGAAGAATTTATTTACAAAATGTACATAAACCTATAGTCTCTGTTTTCGTTCTGAAATGTATGATCTGATGTCAGTGATACTAGTGAGCTCGGACTTGCAACACCTGACCTGCTGACAAGATTTGAAATGTATGAATGATCCCATCTATGTATTTTTATGTAGGGTCTTGATGGGATGCATGGGGCATCTTTTAAAGCAAAAATGTTTACTCATTTGCCTACACATGGGCTACATGGCTTTAAAGGGAAATCTAACTCGAATATGCAACTGCTCTAAAACTAAAAGTAAAAGAAAGCAGAAAAATAAGAGAAGCTAACTGATGAAAGTTTTGGCACTGTCTGACTACTGGCAGTGCTAAGATTAAGAGTAGACTGTCACACCAAAAGACGGATAATACATGCAGTCAAGCGCATTCCAAGCAATACTGTAGATCTAGTAGTAGATCTAGTACTAGTTCAGAATCATATCCAGACTTGTTGACCAGTGACCCTCAACTCTGGCGTGGAGATAGTACTAACAATCTAAAACATACCCCAAATCAAGCAAATATTCATGAAATGTTATTAATTCAAATAATGCCGGTCATGATTTAAAAGTCGTTATGTTTCTAACCTGTTTCTGGTCAATTTTCTTATTTCGGGGGGAGTATTTTTCGGGAAAACGTTGATATTAGTATATACTTTCTCACAGGTTGCACGGCAAACCGCTGCACAATACAAGTGCATACCGATGGAGGGTTGCGGGGGCACGTAAGTCTGTGTGTCTTGTGAAGTTATCTATTTCCTCATTATACAGTAGATAACTTCACACAGGCATGCGCCCGCCCGCAACCACCATCGGTATGCACTTGTAATGTGCAGTGGTTTGCAGTGAAACCTGTGAGAAAGTGGACTACCGGCCCAGGCCCAGATGTCTGGAAATTGAGCATTGCGTGTCGATGCGTAGAGGAATAAAGCAGTGTCTTGTGTCACAGTCACATACATGTAACTTTAAACAAGTCGTTTCTATAGTCTTTAGACAGCAAATTTATCTTATAGGCTACCGTATAAATGCAGAAATCTTTATCTGGAAATAATAGACCCGTAAATGGTAAACAAAATTCTTTCCCCACAGGCTGTTCAGAGAAGTTTGTAGTATATGTGTTGCACATGCATACATTTATCAACCATTCATTTTGTTTTAACTTTATTTATTTTCTCATTAATTGTAGGCATCCTTTGTTAACATATCTCGTCAAAGCAGTGGATTCAAAGCACATTGTGGCCTCAGTATATTGATGTGAAACCATGCAGAAAATGCTACTCTCTCGCAACCTTGTGGATGTTCCCTAAGGATCAGCAGCCTCTTGAAACAGTTGAAGCCATTATCGGTAAATAAATGTGTACATGTAATTGTATTATTTTTGTACATTTATTTGTCATATTATGCATGATCACTGACAGACACTGAGACTCTGACTAATTAGACACTACAGAATGGATCATTTCATTTGAAAGGCTTATTTGTCCTAATTTTCAATTATATATTTATAATTCAATTAATTTTAGATCACTGAAACCTGCAGGTATGTTGCAATAACCGACAATAATTTTTGTGAGTTTGAAACAGTGTTATTTTACCATTCAGCATAGGTCAAGGAGCTTTCATTCAACCCTCTTCAGCAAACTACAGGAATGCCAGTTTTCAGGCAATAGCCTGAATTCAGGCCCTGGCGAGTTATTTTCATACCATAGTTTAGGTTTTTGTGTACAAGCTAGCTCATTCATTCTAGGTGATTTTTCAGGCCCTCTGATCAATTCTAACTGGCATCCCTGAAACTAGAATTGTATTGATAATTTACCAAACAAAATCGTGAATCACGTTTTGCATTGCCCACAAATGTTTAAAATCCAAAGGTGTGTTGACTTTATGTTTTGTGAGCAATAAGAAATTATTTCTGATAAATCTTACCAAGCAGTGCTTTTCTGACAGAATTCATTGTTTACATTCCAGTTTAAAATATGTGAAAGTTTTTCTTAAATTGTATTCCTTTCTTTTTTGCTTTATTCATGCATTAGAATTCCTTGCGTCTATGTTCCCTGGATCTGAAAGCAGTGCATAATGCAGGAGATTCTACCCAAAAGCTAACCCACTGAGCAGCGCCAGATTGACGTTGCTCTATCCCTTATTGTTGAACGCCAAACAAGGTAGCAGCAACTCCCGTCTTTTGGTATGACGCGGCCCGGGCTCGAACCCACGACCTCCCGGTTGTGAGGTGGACACTCTACTGACTGAGCCAACAAACCGGTCTAAGTTGGTAATAGAGAAAATTGAGTGAGGTAAATGCAATACAATTCGATTCCATTATTATTAAGCAATTAAGACGTGAAGTTCGTGAACCTCCAACAAATTTAAAAAATGATGCAGTTTGGTTTTATGTGTAAAGTGAATGGAAACAAAGGACCTACCGGTACGTGTCTTTGTATGTTTTGGACTGCGCGTATTCAGTGAGCTCTTTTTGATAATATACACTATGTAAAGCATATTGAACTCTATGTCAACATAAAAAACTATGTGATTTTGACTGTTTTGCAGCAATCATGTCTGAACGAGCCTTAAAGTGACTTGGTAACATTGTTCAGATGAGAGAAAATGGTGCTATTAAAGGTATTGCCTTCAATGCTATATGTACACTTAAAAATAATCTGAAAGTTTGAGTGAAAAAAGACCATTATTGATGATAAATTGAAAACAAAATTTCTGATCTGATCGATTTCTTAATTCTGCCAACTATATTATTATAATTTAATTTAATTTTAGGTGAATGTAAATCATCACAAAGCAAAGAATTGGCTCTAATACCTTAGAGTTTTAAAGGCCTGTTTTATATCTTATTTTCAGGGGAAAACGGTTGGGGAAAATTCAAAAATATGTTGGGAGAATTAAGTGTTAAAGAGTGACACACAGTGGCGCCTTCAAAGAAAACCATAAATATCTTTGTGGTTTGAGAATTTTTTGGTAATTAAAAGTATACAATTCTTGGATTGTATCTGTGATTTTGAAAGCACAATATGGCTTACCTATATTGAATTTGCTGTAAAAATTTAAGTTAAATTTTATTTTTTTGTGAAACTCCCCCCCCAGGAGTATACACTTGCCAAATGAATGTTGTGACATTAGCAATGGAATATATCTCTTTGTGCTAAACTTTTTAAGCATGTTTGCTATTTTATCTTAAACTTGGAAATATCTTCCGAATAATTATTGCACAGTCACCTTGAAATTGCCCAACAGAGCCAATCGTACTGGCGGGAATGTTTTTTGATAGAAATTGTATTTTTATACTTGAACTTCAGCTTCTGTATTTGCAACAAAATGTTTTTTGATGATATTTATAAGTATGAATGTTGCCACTAATGCCTTTTTGTGTTTAAGTCATGTGCCAGTAAGAAGCAGGTTTCTAGCACAGAGAATAGGTATAGTTGAGCTGATTTCTGCACAGTTTTCCAATATGCAGTATCGCCAAATGTGAACATCGTGGTTTCAACAGGCAAGCAACCATCATCAGAAAACTCTGCAGGTATCAGTCAAGCTCTCCCTGTTCCCCTTGCTGCCAACTTGTTCCTTTTGAGTGTAAGAAATAACTTAGCTAAGCCATGTGTTTATCATTTATGCCATTTTTCTCTTGTGTGTGATTTAGATTGTATAGTTTTATACTTTATACTGAATTCTTGCCATAAAATTAGATATTCCCCTTGTAATTTTGTTATCTTTCATGTTCAGGAATTGTTTCCAACAACCTTTTGTTTTATGTGATAGTCTTTATCTGCACTAAAGTCTTGGAGTGGTTGTGAGGAGCAGTTTTGCAGCGTGGAGACGAGGTAGAGCTGCACTGATGAATGCCCAGCTTTCCACTATGCTGTTTTGCTGAATATGAGGAACTTCCCCAGTCTGCTGTTTGCTTGTCTTCTAAACAACTGCGGGTATCAGTGTAGCTTTACCTAGTCTCCATGCTGCTAACCTGCTTCTCACAACCGCAAGACTTATAAGTTAAGCCAATTTATGTTTTAGTTTCTTGTAACAGAATGAAATCTGAAATGAAGCAGCACAATTTATAACAACACAATATCTTTGTGATGGCCTGTTAACTTTCTTAAAATCAATTATGAGACTGACAGAAATACACTAGGTATTTATACAGCATGTTTTGGAAGAAGTGTCAGGATGGTGATGGAAAGATTCTGTATGTATAGAAGACAAGTTAGATAGAAGAAGAAGGTATACAAATAAGTATTCCATATTTTTATTATCCATTTTCATACCATATACATGTACATTAAAAATATGAAAATTACTTTCTGTCTGGCATGTCTATATATTATGTGATGCAATATTTGTTGCTTTGTTTTTACTGTGTGAATGTTTAAAATGTGTTCATGAAGTGACTTACACTTTCTTCCTTGATCAGGTGGTCATATAGGTGTCATTTAGAGGACAAAAAGGACGTAAAGATCATGTAAGGATAAAAGGTACATCGAAATGACCAGTAAGATGTAAATATCACGTCAAAATTTGATGTCCATACAACGTATACACGACGTCTGTACGACGTCTTTCTTGGACCAATACGACCTAAAAAGAAAATATGACGTTCATACGACGTTTTCCTATGGTACAAGTTGACGTCTTAATGATGTCTTTCTTTGACTAATAAGACGTAAATATAACGTCTATACTACAAAATATGACGTCCATATGACGTCTTCACGATGTCTTCCATGGTACAAGTTGACGTCTTAAAGACGTCTTTCTTTAACTAATAAGACGTAAAAATCGCGTCAAAATATGACGTCCCCACGACGACGTACGCGGGTGCAAAATCAGGTCTTTTTGACGTCGTGTTATGTCGTCTTAAAGACGTCTTTCTTTAACTATAAGACGTTAATATGACGTCCATATGACGTCTTCCTATGGTACAAGTTGACGTCTTAAAGATGTCTTTCTTTAACTATAAGACGTTAATATGACGTCCATATGACGTCTTCCTATGGTACAAGTTGACGTCTTAAAGACGTCTTTCTTTGACTAGTAAGACGTAAATATGACGTCCATACGACGTCTTCCTAAGGTACAAGTTGACGTCTTAAAGACGTCTTTCTTTGAATAATAAGACGTAAAAATCACGTCAAAATATGACGTCCTCATGACGACGTGCGCGGGTGCAAAATCATGTCTTTTTGACGTCGTGTTATGTCGTCTTAAAGACGTAAATATCACGTGATATTTACCAGTCTCTGCTATCAGGGGATATAATAATTCTATATCTGGTATGTATAACAATTTTTGTTACTAAATGACAGTCACTTCAACATTTGTTCGTATGAACAACGAGGAGAGAAATGTGAAAGTATCCTTTTTTGTTTGAGTTCAGGAAAGACTTAATTTCATTGAATTGTAAAAATGTTTGTTTGACTCAAAATAGCCTATGGAGGGCTAAAACGTTTTTTTTTTTTTAAGAGATATACTATAATCGACAGAAATTAAAATTATTTTTAAAACAGAAAATATTGAAAATAGAATGAATAACAGGTAAACAAGATTTGTTAATCTTCCAGCACTAACTAACCAAGCAGAAATCAGGGAAAATGCAAATAAGAGTATACTTGAAGACAGTAATGTAAAACCTGATGCCTGTTGTTAAGGCAATCAATGAAAACAAATCAGAAAGCTACGGGCACAACCACTGTCATGACTGCAATATTGGTAGATCATTTTCGCTGCAACTTCAATAAGTTTGTCAGGGGGCGGGGCGGTGAAGGTGAACGCCGGCGCCATGCACGATATGATGGATGGTGGCGAATGAAGTCAGGGATTGAGTGAGTTTGTGCGTCAATGGCAGAGAGAAAGGGATAAGAATTGATTGTGAGTGAGTGGGTGAGATAGAGAGACAGAGAGAGAGAGAGAGAGGGATAAGAATTGATTGTGAATGAGGAGGTGAGATAGAGAGACACAAGGAGAGAGAGGGGAAAAGGTAAAAGGGAGTGAGTTTGTTGAATTATTTAATGTCAATAGAAGAAATGGGTCAATGTAGGGAAAGAGAGACAGCAAATTTGAATGAGCAAGAGGAAGATCGAAATTAAAAGAAACGAATAATTAGGTGGGCAATCACAGCGAGATAGTGATAAAGTGACATTGTGTTTGTGAGAAAGAGAGGGTGAGGGGGGGGGTAGGTTGGAAGAGGTAAATTGAAATATTAAGTGTGTGCATGAGAGAGAGAGAGAGAGAGAGAGAGAGAGAGAGATAGAAACAGAGATAAAGATGAACGGATGACTGAAGGACGAACAGTGTGAGAGAGAGAGAGAGAGATTAATTTTCATTGTGTACCAGTTTTTATGTATGCCTTAAGCTAAAGAAAATTAAATATGTCACGAATAGTTACGAAAACAAGTTTAAATATGAATATGTCATCACTACGTCACTACACTATACAAGGAATCAATTATGCGTGAACCCTTTGAAGAGCTATCCTTTTCAGGGGACATTGTTGTTTTCGTATTCTTCCACACGAAGGCCAAGTAAAACTCATTCGTCTGGTAATTCGTCTGACTGACCGCCTGGGCTGGAGGCTCCGGGTTGCGGACTTAGGATAGTTTCGAGTCGATGAGTGGGAAGTGCTGTCGGCGAGACGCTGTGTGTGTCCCCGACGTAGGCGGCGTTGTAGTCTGTTGTCGTCTGCTGTGCATTGTAGCTGTGATCGAGACTGGCGGCTGCTTTGAGGGTTCGGCGGGTGGCGGTGGTTGATGTACGGTTGTCTGTCGGGGTGGTGGTGAGGGCGGTGCTGGAGGCGGTGCCCTTCGTCAGTCAGACGAATTACCAGACGACCATCCATGCCCACTCCCCGATGACTCAAGCCGACACGGTCTACTATTTTTCCCTGACGTCCGCACCCCGGTGACTTAAGCTCATGCACGCCATGCTATTCTCCACTCCTGACGACGGATAGTCAACCTGTTCGAAACGTCGAGCCACTCATCCTCTCCAAGCGCTATAGTTCTCCTGAGAACTATATGCTAAGAAAGATAACAAACAGTCCTTTTCAGGACTACACTCCTCCAAGAAAGATTACCGAGTCAGAGTCCTTTTCAGGACTCCTCAAAACCTCTCTCTCTCTCTCACACATGGTGCAACCGCAAACCTACTGTATAATACAGATATTGACCGCA